CCCTCATGCACGAGAGGCGGTCTGTAACCTCTAGGTAACTACAACTTATCAGTCAATACAAATAAATTAAATTATATTCGCGGGCTGTTTTTTGATAGTAATAGTAAATGATTCTAATCATATAACTCTCGCACGAGAAAAATCGTACAGTTTTTAACGAGTAATGTTTAATAAAAAATGTGTTATCTTTAGTTGTGGTATGAAGATAAATATATAGCTTTCAAGGTCATGTCCGTCATTATTTATGTGTACTTTTTAAAAATAAATCAACTATAGTTAATTATTTTTAATAATAATGATATTAATCTTTTTGATGAACTCTGTACTCGATGGGGGGTGAAGTGAGATAATTAAGAAAACAAAGCGGGAAGATAAATTAAACCGTATAGTTATACATATATTGTTATTCCATAATATGTGAGAATAATTTAATCCAAAAATTCTCCTCAAAACGAATATTTAAACTTTTTAATTTTAAATAAATTTTTAAGAAACTACTATCTCTTAAAAAAGGTTTTTTATTTATTTACGTTTACGAAAATATTTTGTGTTTAGGAAGTTCGAATTACGTATTATATGTATAAAGGATATGATAACATAATGTCTAAAATTTTTAACTACAATAGTTGTGACTTGTGATATGTTCGTCTATTTGTGAATAGTACAATACTTCCCACGTTTAGTGTTGCCGATGTAACTAATAAATATTGGATTTATAAAGAAGAGTTTGATAAAAATAAAAGTAACATGTAACTTTTTGGTCTCAACTCCAAATATGGTAATTTACTTAAACTTCCACTACAACTTCAGGGCTAACTTTATTCAATCTCCTAGATATGTAAAAAGTTTCACAAAAAAATAGCTTTGTTCACTTTAATAAGTTTCTTAGAATCACAGTTTCAATTTTCAGAAACCTTAACCTATTTCTATACAAATGAGATCTAAGACTTTCGCGAGTATTCATTCATTATTTCTATACAATTCGATCAGAAAACTGGACATTTAAATCTGATGAGTAAAATGAATATCTAGGGGCTTAGTTTAGTAAAAGTAAATTGAAAAAATTCACGACTCAGTATAAAGTCTTAATAAAGTAGTATTGCTATTATGTGGTAACCATAAAATTTTTACAGAACTAGTTTCTGACAGTAGACCTTTCTTTTTTTTTTTTTTTTTTTTTTTTTTTTTAATTTATTTGGGACAACAAACATTTGTACATGTATGAAAATATATATTATATAATTTTATAACCTTAATAAATGCACAAACCACACCGTTATCCACTATTTACATTGAAAAAAAAAAGAAATAAAAGAGATATTACAATGAATAATTAAAAAAAAATAATAATAATAACAATATTAAATATATATATATATATATATATATAAGAAATATAAATACACATACATAATTACACACATACTCACATATAAATATATAATTTGAATTTATTATTACATACTGTTAACTAATATTATTGTTTGCTTTTTCAGTAATGGCTTTAATTTTTTTTTTATATGCACCTATTGTTGACCCAAAAATGTCAACATTATAAAATTCAACATTGTACGTTTGGGTCATTTGGTACAATGGTGCTCGCTTGCCAGCATTAGTTTGACATTTTTTCAGTTTGAATAATTTAGGTGTTCGTGTGTTACGTAATGAAACTCGATTGGGTACTAAGAAATATATGTGGCTTAATAATTGAGGACTGTTTAGATTAGAGTTGCAGATATTGTATAAGGATATTGCACTCAACAGTTTTCTTCTCGATGCGAGACTCCCCAATTTATATCTATCAAGCAAATTAGAATATGACAGATAGGAATGTGTGAATTTGTAATGTAATGAACGCAAATACCGACGTTGCACATTTTCTATCTGGTCAACATATTTATTGTAAATGGGGTTCCAGATTTGTAATGCATATTCAAGTTGTGGTCTGATTAAACTGGAATACAGATATATGAGCGTAGACGGCTTTTTAAAATCCCTAGTTGATCTCATCACAAATCCGTACATTTTAAATGCGTTATTAACAATATTGTCAACATGCTTATCGAGATGAAGGTGCGAATCTATAATGATACCAAGGTCACGTACATGATTTACTCTATTTAATTGAGTCCCATTGAGATAGTATTCTTGCTTAACTATATTTTTATTTTTAGTTATTGTTATAGTGTTACATTTGGTCAAGTTGAGACGTAATTTATTCAGAACACAATATTCGCTAAGCCTGTTAAGATCGCTTTGTAAATCATGGCAGTCCGACAAATCCCGCACATTTAAGTATAATTTAAGATCATCCGCGTACAACAGGAACTTGCAATGTTTGAAGCATTGGTTTATGTCATTTATAAAGATTGTAAAAAGCAATGGCCCAAGTATAGATCCCTGTGGCACGCCGGAGGATGTAATAAAAGTATCAGACTCAAAGCCTCTAACTACGACTCTCTGAGACCTGTTGATAATGTACGAAGCAAACCACCTCAATAAATTACCTCTTACGCCGTTGAAGGCCAATTTCTTTAAAAGGATTTCATGGTCCACTTTGTCAAATGCTTTGCGAAAATCCGTGTACACAGCATCCACCTGCACCCTGTTGTCCATATTCTCAAACAAGTAAGTAGCATATAACAATAAATTAGTAGTAGTAGATTTCTGTTGTACAAATCCATGCTGCTCCTGTAAGATATCATTATGCACAAGAGGGTACAATTGGGCGTGTACTAATCGTTCGAAGACTTTCGCTAGCGTGGACAAAATCGATATCGGTCGATAATTTTCAATATTGTCTCTGTCTCCACTCTTGAAAACGGGTGTTATATGCGCCATCTTCCATAAATCAGGAAAAATACCTTCTTGCATACACTTGTTATAGATAATTGTAAGTGGAATGCATAGTGTATCCGCGGTAAGCTTTATGAACAAAGGCGGTAAGGAGTCAGGTCCAGCACCTTTATTTGAGTCTAGTGCCCTTAACACCCTGTAGACATCGTTTTCAGAAAAATATAAAGAGCATATATTGTTGTTACTAGAGTTGGTATCACCTACTGATGACTCCCATGTTTCTATATTAAGTGTAGATGGCTCATATACAGATTGAAAGAAATGCGCGAACATTTTACATATCATTTCAGGGTCGCTTGATGAATTACCCATATAGGTCATTGTTGTCGGTATTCCCGGTTTGATTTTAAGACTAGACATGTAATTCCAAAAGGATTTTATATTTTTAATTAAACTTTGTTCCGTAAATGATATGTAATTGTCAAAGCACATTTTACTTTCCGTATGAAATCTGCTTCGATACATGGAGAAGAGTTCATAATCAGCAGTATTTTTATACTTTTTCCACTTTACCCACGCTTTATCTTTAGCCTTAAATATCCGTCGAAGACTTGGGGTAAACCAACATGGAGAATTACTGTTTTTTATTACGCTGACCGGTGTAAACAACTTTATAATTGAGAATAGTTTTTCATAAAATATATTTATAATTTCGTTAATAGAACCAATTAAAATGTCAGACCAATTTGCTTTATTAATAGCTTCATTAATATTTATGTAGTCAGCTTTTGCAAAACACAATTTGATTCGTGGTTGTCTTGGAATAGATATAAGTGCCGTAGTTATTTTGCTGAGAATATAGAAATATGGATGGTGCTGCACCAGTGGAGACAGAGGCGATGTAGGCGTCAGACAAGTACAATCAGTGTTCGATATGAACAAATCCAAAGTACGGTTTAAATTATTTTTGTAAATGTTATGTTGAGTGGCATTCAGTAAAGAGAGGATTTGCACAAGATATTTACCAGCATATACAGTATCATTTCTTATAGAAGGTAAACAAAGACCATTATTTACTCCCCACTCAAGGCTAGGTAGATTAAAATCTCCTATTAGAAAATGCTCAGTTACATTATCACACAACACTATGTCGCAAACTAAGTCGAGATATACGACGTAAGTATTCGAACATTGATTAGGTGGTATGTATACTGCGTTCACAATGCATTTCTTACCTCGGGTCGCGCTCGGTACCTCAACAGAGACGCAATCGACAATAGGAGGCACGGGCCCCGGCAACGCGCGGCGCACGGGCCGCAGCTCGCGGCGCACGGCCACTAACACGCCGCCGCCCTCCTCCCTACCTGTGGCGGTACGGTCCCGGTCGCAGCGAAATACAATATACCTACTGTCTATAAATTCACTATCTGAAATACTAGGAATTAACCATGTTTCGGTTAATACGATAATATCATAAGAATAAGTTAAGATGTTCATATAAATGGTATTTAGTTTGGTTCTTATTCCACCACAATTTTGATAATAAAATGATAAATTACCTGTGAATTCGAATAATAATGCATATTGTGTATAAGATGTTGGTATTATATTCACATATTATGTTTAAGATATATCGTATTATGGGTGAATATATTTTAAGAACATTGTAAACATCAAAAAATAGTAGATACGTTATTTTGCAATTTAACGTGTTTGTGTAAAAAGATAACGTATCTTTGGAAGCTTGGTAAATCATTGTTATTAAACAATAATAATAGTAAAACGAAGTTATAGTATAAGAATATAACTTATTAGAATTAATCAGTAAATTGAATATGAATTTGTTATTCCCGCATCGAGAAATCAATCGTTTCATTACGTAACCACTATAGACTTTATTATGAAGTACAAAATATAGTGTATAGTAAATATAAATATCATACTTTATATAAGTGTTATATAATAATATTATAGATAAATGATAAATTACGAATAAATATTTGATATTATGGAGTAAAACTATATGTAAATACTTATTTAATAAACACAATACCAATAAAAATGTAAGGTAATTTAAAAACATTTGCACAGAGTAATTAACAGGACAGAGCAATTCGTGTAAACATAGTGGCAAGCAATAATATTTTTTAATGAGTAGTATAACAGTAACAACTAATACGTGATGTGTTTTTTTATTTAACTTACTAGGAGGACTTAGAAGATTTAATTTTAGACAAGTCTTCATACGAACGGATAGCAATAACTCGGGATGTTTCGCACTCGCGCACAAGAATGTTACCATGCTTAATCCAAGTAAAGCGAAAATTACACCTTTTAGCAGTTTCACGAGCACTTCTAAAAAGTTGTTTGTTTCGTAATGTAAGATGTTCATTTACGTAAACTCTGCGATTTTCACCATTAATATGCAAGTCATCTGTGTATAAACCTTTCTTCATTCGAGCAGCAGACAGTATATTGTCACGCAGAATCCGGGAACATAATTTTACGACAATACTTTTAGGATGTGTGCTCTTTGTATCAGCATGAGGCACTCGGTGTACAGATACTATATCATTCGGACTTATGCTTTGCTTAATAGACGTTCCGATGTGTTCAACTATTTTTATTAGATTTTCGTTACGTCTCTCAGGTACGTTCTGAATTTCTACATTGCACTGACGTGAATGTTGCTCCATTGATTCAATTTTCGCTTCCAATTGAGTTATTGTTTTAGTGTGTTCTTCTAGACTTTTTACCTTCTTTTCTGTTTCAGCTAGACGGTTGAGACATGCCGTGGTCTTGTTGTTTAGTTCGTCAAAATAATTTGACATTTGATTCATTGTTTGCTTAACTTCGTTGAATTCCTTTACAACCTTGGATATCATATTTTCCTGTCTGGCGAACCATTTGTCCATTTTGTTAACCATTGACTCCTTGAACTCACGTAGTTCCTTTAACAATGGATTAAGACCACCTTCCGTGTCAACACGAGTTCTTCTAGTTGTCACGCAATTTACGGGTGATCCATCGGTAAGTGATGTAAAACTTATGTCTTGAGCATCGTTGGAATGTGTAGGCGAAGACATATCCGTGTATAATAAAAAGTGTTGCAATATCTCTATATCTCTGTGTAGTCACTACTCTGTATATACCGGTCGGTAAACGTAATCAACTGTAAGGACAATGCGCGCGACCGGCCGTCAAGAGTGACCGAGACGGAATGAAATTCTTAGTGTAATTTCGTATAAAATGTTTGTGAAAATCATCTGAAAAAGGTAGAAAGCGTGGAGAAAAGTCTTGTCAGTAAGTACAAAGATATAAAAATAGTGACAATAATTTTGATAATTTATGCTAATAGTGTGCGCGTGTGTGTGTTGTTTGGTACTGGGATTTATTCATAGATAGTAATAAAACTTGTAATAAAATACATAGTTATTAACGTGTTATTTAAATATAATATTTTGTAAATTCAAATGACATTAAAAACAAGTCTATAGAAGATTTCAAGGAGAAGTTTATGTTAAAGATAACCAACGTATCCATATACTACTGATAGCAAGAATAGTATTTCTTAACTAAATTTGAATAAGATATGATACTGAGAATTTTAGTGTGCAAGATAATGATATCGCACATTTTATTAATCATTTTATTTACTTTAAAAAAAAACTATGTGGTATATTATAACGACGAAATAGAAAAAGAAATAGACTGAACTTCTAGCATGAGTATTTATTTTCAGCAACCGTGATCACGGACAAACGATATCATCTCGTAAGTAATAAGCTAAAAAGTAATAAAGCTGAAAAGTAGCCGAAACGTCGGGAGTATGTAGTTTGTAATCAAAAATAAAAACGCGAAGTAAAATATGAAAATATTAGTTTCATTTAAATGAGTTCTTGCGAAAATCTTAGATCTCGTCATGTCAAGTTATTAATGAAGCTAAAAATATTTAATTTCAAACTTACATACATGTAACATTTTAATAACATTTCTTACAATGATGTAATTACTCTTACGGTCTTCTTATTAGTGAAAATTAATGAGATTTCATTTAGAGATATATATATATAGTCTTAACGGGTGTTAAAAATAGTTTTAAGGTTCGTTTAAGAAAAACTTATAAAACCTTGTAATAACAAACTAGTGAGTCAGGATCATAAGGCAGTAGGATATTTATCAGAGATTAAACTTGAGCGAATGTTTGCAAGTATATCAAATTTTACTATGCTATAGTTGTATAAGCTTTATTACACTTAAATTTTATTTGTATGACTTTTTATTTGAGTCACATAAACAATAATTAACAAAAAATCATACTTCCTGCCATCCTAACATATTTTTGTAATATTTTAGTACGTATATTTGTATTCAGCGCTAATAAATATGTGAAGTTCGATGTACATATATAATGTTTCATTGTTTATGAGTAGGTAAAGAACAAATTCTCGCGAGGGTGAGACTCCGTAAACATTAGAATATATGTTGTTGCAGTAAGAAGTTTGTAACTCCGTCGAGTGATTTTAATTAAAATATTTAAGAAAATATTTCCCTTGACAATTTAGTTGTACACAGCTACTTTCATTAAAATTGGTTTGATTACATTCTTAAGATATAAATTCTTCTTAACCAATAAGGAGCTCTTATGTATTGTTTTCAAAGTAATATATATCGTGTTAAGATAGGGTTTAGGATCTTTATTGTCTGTGGTCTATTCTCCTAAATATACTACTCAAGGAAGTCTTAAAAAATCGTGGACTGATGACGGCGTCAGCCTGAAAATCGAATCTGTCGAATCTCGTATTATCGTTAGAACATGTTATAATGATTTTCTTTGTTTATGTATACATACAACACTAGTGATGTTTTCAAAGGATATTTTGACCGAAAAATTAGTGAACCATACTGTGTTGTCCAAACAAAACAGCCATGTTGTTAAAACAATTTTATTATTACAAGTACTGTTCAACGTTGTATTCAAATACGGTGATTTAACAGAATGAATAGAATGTGTGACAACAATAAGATATTTAATAATTGTTTTACAACCATTATCTATTTTTCAAGAGTTTTTTTTTACTTACAAAGGTTTTCTGGAAGAGAATGGTATGGTCAAGGAATGGTTGCGTTAATCCTTTCGCTTGTCACAGTATCCATTTCTCTTTTGTTTTTAATAATTTGGTAGAAATATTTCGGTGTTTATTAAACATAAATTAGTATATATGTGCAATAATATAATTATTTTTTCTAAAATAAGGAGAAAACCACACTCCATCTAGCGACAAATAGCACGATCATTATAACTAGAGAAATATTCATGAATTAAAGGTACTTATCAAGGTGTTTTCTTTAGTCCTTTTGGGTTTTGGGTCGCCTTTAACCCTCTGTCGTATTTGTTGCATGGTCCCGCCCGGACAACATCTTAAACATGATAAGAAACATACAGTATTCTCACATCTAATATATATGGATTATGTTAAGTTATATGCAAAAACATTGAAATAAATACTGCCATTTAATTTAGTATAGACATAAATATTGAATTTGGTTATATAAAATACCAAAATATAAATATCAAAAGTATCAAAGTTCGGACCGACGACTGAAATTAATGATACCGATGTTATCACAGTGATGAAACCAACTGAAGTGAATAAATATTTAGGACATAAGTAAGTTAAGAGCACGACCCTATCAGTTAGACCACTTTCATAATAGAATTTAAATAATTGATGAGTACATTTTGTAACTCTCAAGTGACTAGAAATACCTAATCAAGTTCTTAAACATCTATATCACAAAAAAAAAACAAAAGAAAAATAAATTCTGATTAAACTCCGTAATATTCACCTAAAATTTTGTAATGGAACAACTCATCGTGAAAAGGAGAGTAGTTGTAGAGATCTTATTGAGATAAATAAACTCGTGCAAAAGTCACTACATTAAAGTGTTACTTTTATTCCATATCCAAATCAGAGTAATTTATAAAAACGCTGTTCGAAATTACTCGAAAAAATTAGAAGAAGTCGTACACACTCGTCATAGCAAAAAAACTTATTTTTAAATATATTTATATTATTTAGAGAATAAGAAACAAAGTATTACACGGATGACACCTAATGAATAAGAATAGCCTTAAATTAATGGTTAAAATAAAAAATATTCCAAGGAAGCAAATGATCACAAAAACTGAAAACTTCCGAAACTTTCATATAACCAAGTAGAAATGCCGCAATTGTCATTACAACTACACTATAGCAACGACACCACAAAATATAGTTTAGAAAATCATCAACACGAACTTAACTGAAACCGCAAGGTACTAAAAGGGCTTTTTAGTTTTTTCTTATAATTTCGTTTATTGATTTTCGTGTGCACGTATTTGTGTTTTGTTTACCCAATATTCAGGGGATATCTGAAAATCAGTGCTGTGCATTAGCACAGCTTATACTGAGATGGACCCCCTTGCTACACTGTATTCTTTAAATTAATTTTTTTTCCCTCTGTATAACTGTATAATACATCTATGTAATGTATGTGTGTAGCAAAAAAATAAATAAAAGATACAACAAATCACTTGAATAGAAATTCTCCTTATATGTAGTTATTACTGTCACAAAACGACTACTACCTGCAGACGACGCACCAGGAGAAGTAATGACAAGTTGTCTTCTTGGTAAGAGTTTCGTTATATGTTATACAATTTAAAATGAACCACACATTACAATATTTGGAGTTTATATTAATATACATAAATATATGTAATTGTATTTTTCAGTTTTGTCAATGAAGAAGGCTTCAAACATCAAATGTACGCCATGTACTCCACGCCGACATGCTACCTGCAGACGACGCACCAGGAGAAGTAATGACAAGTTGTCTTCTTGGTAACAGTTTCGTTATATGTTATACAATTTAAAATGAACCACACATTACAATATTTGGAGTTTATATTAATATACATAAATATATGTTATTATATATATATTAATTATATTTTTCAGTTTAGTCAATGAAGAAGGCTTCAAACATCAAATGTACGCCATGTACTCCACGCCGACATGCTACCTGCAGACGACGCACCAGGAGAAGTAATGACAAGTTGTCTTCTTGGTAAGAGTTTCGTTATATGTTATACAATTTAAAATGAACCACACATTACAATATTTGGAGTTTATATTAATATACATAAATATATGTTATTATATATATATTATTTATATTTTTCAGTTTTGTCAATGAAGAAGGCTTCAAACATCAAATGTACGCCATGTACTCCACGCCGACATGCTACCTGCAGACGACGCACCAGGAGAAGTAATGACAAGTTGTCTTCTTGGTAACAGTTTCGTTATATGTTATACAATTTAAAATGAACCACACATTACAATATTTGGAGTTTATATTAATATACATAAATATATGTTATTATATATATATATATATATTAATTATTTTTTCAGTTTTGTCAATGAAGAAGGCTTCAAACATCAAATGTACGCCATGTACTCCACGCCGACATGCTACCTGCAGACGACGCACCAGGAGAAGTAATGACAAGTTGTCTTCTTGGTAACAGTTTCGTTATATGTTATACAATTTAAAATGAACCACACATTACAATATTTGGAGTTTATATTAATATACATAAATAAATGTAATTATATTTTTCAGTTTTGTCAATGAAGAAGGCTTCAAACATCAAATGTACGCCATGCACTCCACGCCGACATGCTACCTGCAGACGACGCAGCAGGAGAAGTAATGACAAGTTGTCTTCTTGGTAACAGTTTCGTTATATGTTATACAATTTAAAATGAACCACACATTACAATATTTGGAGTTTATATTAATATACATAAATATATGTTATTATATATATATTAATTATATTTTTCAGTTTAGTCAATGAAGAAGGCTTCAAACATCAAATGTACGCCATGTACTCCACGCCGACATGCTACCTGCAGACGACGCAGCAGGAGAAGTAATGACAAGTTGTCTTCTTGGTAACAGTTTCGTTATATGTTATACAATTTAAAATGAACCACACATTACAATATTTGGAGTTTATATTAATATACAT